TTCTCGCCATTGCGTTACGTTTCCGGTTTTGGAGGTATGCATTCGTTGCAGATGTAGCAAAAATGTATAGGATGGTGAAAGTGTGCCTTGTGGACCATCTACTTCAGTGTATTCTTTGGAGACTATCTTGCGGCGATTCCGTCAAGGCATACAAATTAACCACGGTCACCTATGGAACTAGTTCTGCGCCGTACCTTGCAAGGAAGTGCCTTCAACGCTTGGGAAGAGAAGGTGAAGTTACACACCCAACCGCGGCGAAAGTAATCAAAAGGGACTTCTACGTTGACGATTTATTGAGTGGAACTGATGATTTGGAGGAAGGAAAGTCTCTTGTGAAAGATCTAATAGATCTGACAAATTCAGCAGGCTTCATCTTGCGGAAATGGAGCTCGAATAGCGCTGAATTACTCTCCAATGTTCCGAGTGAACTTCGGGACGAACGAACTTCCTTTGAATTGGATTCGTCATCGTCAGCTGTCAAAACTCTTGGTTTGCTGTGGGAGCCAGCTGCTGATATTTTCCGATTCACCGTTCCCAAGCTCGAATCGGACGCACCCATCACCAAGAGAACCGTCTTGTCAGAATCAGCTAAGATTTTCGATCCACTTGGATTGATTGGTCCGGTTGTTGTACAAGCAAAAATCTTCCTCCAATCTCTTTGGAAGCAGAAGTGTGACTGGGATGATCTGCTACCGGAAGAGTTGCAGAACACGTGGATTGAATTTCGACGAAATCTTCTAGCATTAGATACTCTCACCATACCACGCTGGGTCTCATTCTCCCAAGGTCTAGCCACGGTAGAGCTACACGGGTTTTGTGACGCTTCTAACGCTGCTTATGGAGCATGTCTTTACCTTCGATGTGTCACTATCAACGGTGAAATAACCGTTCGTCTTATCACTGCCAAGTCGAGGGTCGCACCACTAGATGATTTGAAACGGAAGAAGAAGGTTCTATCCACACCCCGACTTGAGCTTTCCGCAGCGCTCTTGTTGAGTCATTTGTACGAAAAGGTCTGCAGTAGTATCCAGATTCCATTCCAGCCGTTCTTTTGGACAGACTCCACAATCGTGAAGTATTGGCTAGCCTCTCCACCTTCTCGCTGGGAAATTTTCGTGGCAAACCGTGTCTCGGAGATCCAGCATATAACCAGCAGTGGCGTATGGAATCATGTGGCCGGTGCGGACAATCCAGCGGACATTATCTCGCGCGGAATGATACCCGCTCAGTTGAAGTATGAAACTGCGTGGTTTGAAGGTCCATTGTGGTTACGACAAGATCGCTCGACGTGGCCTAACAGTTCATCTACTATACCAGACGTTGAACAATCTCTCTTAGAAGAAAGATCCACCGTAGCCCTCCCAGCTCGTGCGAAGACCCCAAACGAAATTTTCTGTCTCCGTTCTTCGTATACCGATCTCGTCCGAATCGTTGCGTACATCCGTAGATTCTTCCACAACATATCTCCGAACAATCGCAACAATAAGCGCTCAGGACCTATCAAGCTTCAAGAGTTAAATGAATCAACCGAAGTTCTAGTTCGTATAGCTCAAGCGGACAGTTTTGCTGAGGAAGTAGTAGCCCTTTCTCGCGGGCGGGAGGTGAAGACTTCGTCCAAGATTCTTAGACTACATCCTATTCTGGTTGATAAAACACTTTGCGTTGGCGGTCGGCTTGCTCATGCACCAATCACGGAAAGTCGCAAGCACCCAATGATCCTGCATCACCATCACCCATTCACCATGTTAGTTCTACAACACTACCACCTTAAACACTTCCATGCTGGCCAACAGCTTCTGATAGCATCCGTGAGAGATAAATTTTGGCCCACGAACGCACGCGATCTGGCCCGCAATGTGTGTCACAAGTGCGTAACGTGCTTCCGAAGTAAACCAACTGTTCATGAGCAACTAATGGCCGATCTCCCGTCGGTTCGTGTCAACCCTGCAGCCGTATTCCTAAAGGTTGGTGTAGATCTTTGTGGCCCGTTCTACATCAAATATCCAGTTCGTCGTAGTGCTTCGGTAAAATGCTTTGTAGCGATTTTCGTGTGCCTGGCAACGAAAGCCGTCCATATGTAAGTTGTAGCGGACTTGTCAACGCAAGCTTTCCTGGCTGCCTTCAAACGCTTTGTCGCAGTTCGAGAAAAACCGCAGGTGCTCATGTGCGACAATGCCACTAATTTCGTGGGAACTAACAGAGAGTTGGAAGAGTTGCGCCTACACTTCCTTGACCAACAATTCCAGCACACCGTAATCCGCACAGTCGAAGATGAAGGTATTCTGTTCGAGTTCATACCAGCTCGTTCGCCCAATTTCGGCGGGTTATGGGAGGCCGCTGTAAAATCGTTTAAGGGTCATTTTCGTAAGGTTGTCGGAAACCAGCAACTAACTTACGACCAGCTGCATACCATCGTTCAGCAAGTAGCCGCAATCCTGAATTCGCGTCCGTTAACTCCTCTCAGCAATGATCCCGATGATTATGCTGCTCTCACTCCAGGACACTTCCTCATCGGAAGACCTTTGACAGCTATTCCGGAGCCCGATCTTCAGGAGATACCGGAAAATCGTCTGTCAGTATGGCAACAATCTCAAGATTTCGTGCAGAAACTTTGGCGGAAATGGAAGACCCACTATCTTTCGGACATGCATAACAGAACCAAGTGGACGAGGAAGCGCGATAATATCAAGATTGGCACCATGGTACTGGTGAAGGAGGATTACCTGCCCCCACAAAGGTGGAAATTGGGGCGAGTCGCAGAAATATATACCGGTTCGGATGGAAACGTCCGAGTAGTAAACGTCCGTACCAAGGATGGGGTGTTCAAACGAGCCATCTCAAAAATCTGCGTTCTTCCTATTAAGGATAACGCATCCATAGACGAAGAACGCTAAATTCGTCCAACGATGGTGCCTCGGCACCGCGGGGGTCTTCATTATGAAGGCCTCCGCTCTCCAGTTAAGTAGTTGTATCATAATATGTTTCAAAAAATTCAAGGAATGTTTCTCCACCAGAGTCAGCTCCCTTCGGGGACGCCCGCCATTTGGAAGATGTCTCGTTAGCTGCTCCATTCCGTCAATCATCCTTTGGTCCGTCATATGATTGTCAAGCATGTCCTATCGACGATGTCCATATCGTCTGTCCGGCACTTCGTTGTGGCGTCAATCCGTATTAACAAAGAACTAATCAGTCTCGCTAAAGGTCATAGCACATTTTCAATCCAATCATCATCAAGTTCCATCCGAGCATTTGGTACCACTGCTCGGCATCGCTACAGTCGCAACCGACGAGTCATCCACAGGGCCTGATCAACCCGATCGGAGGGCTACAGTCGTCATCGTCGTAGCATCGTAGACCGCTAATGACCAATTTGACCAATTCAAATCGCTGAAACGACGAGCTAGTCGTCGTCGTCGGTGCCTGAGGCACCCGCGGAGGCCAGGAGGCCTCCGCTCCAGGCAAGTTCTGTTGTTGTTCATAAATTCAAGGTAAAAAGCACCCTATCATTTCTAGCTTCGATTGATGTCAGCATTTCACACCTGAGGACGAAGGACGAAGGACAACATCAGGGAGCAATTCACGAGTTAGTAGCTATCGTTCGACCCTATCGAGGGAATGGGCGGTGTTTACAGGAAGCAGCATAGAAACAGCTATCCAGTTCATCTCATCATCCCAGTCCAAGAACCACATAATCATCCAATGTCGTCTCCGTTATCGTTGTGGTGTGCTATTGGTAGCAGCAGTTTTTTTTTATCGACAGTTTGCTATTCCCTTGAACAATAGTTCTCTAGCTAATGAAAGATAGGCCATCGCGCATCATGTAGGTTCATCGGCAGTATATAAGAAGTTTGAAATCAAAACAAATCAATCCAATAGTAAGTAGAAGTTAGACATTGAAAACCGGTTGGACAGAAATTACACGATCGGTTGAAAGAGTTAGTCCAGTATTTGATTGAAATCCATACGATTTCAAGGCGGCCGGTATGTTTAGGATTAGCCTAAAGCAGTTAAACTGGCAACCCGAACATGTTCCACACTTCCGAAACAGTATTATTCTCCCTCACTCTTATCATTTCGTTTATTATCATTTCGTATTCCTTATCAACACGTAGATGTTAGGTACTGTTAGGCCCGATCTACCGTGATCGGTATAATTCGCGAGTTTATATTCACCACACTGACCCTTGTGTATCGTTATATATACCCAGGGCAGTTAGTTAGCTATCGATCGTGCGCGCATTCACTTCGAATAAAGTTATTTTTCACAAACCTATTCGAGCTAAATAAAAGTCAAGTTTTCTTTGTTCGGTTTACGAATCCAACGTGTGTTAATAGTGAATTCCTACAAATTCCGAATCCAGGGATGTTCCAACGGTACCGGTAAGAACAAGTATGGTGCCGATGATTACAATGCCTGCATTTCATTTCCGATGGACAGTTGCGCACGATATGATCGACATGAAAACAGTTTAGACACAGTCGCTTCGCATTGACTCTCTTCTGACGTTCAGATAGCGGAAGACGTTGAAACATCTGCCCAACGGATGCGGTTGATTACAGACAGGACATCGTTTCGATGTGCTAGCAGTAGACGAGTACGATGAAAGATTAATCGACGGCCTCTTTGATGTCAACGTGAGTCGAACGGTACTCGATGGCGCATGGTGATTCACGGAAATGGACTCCAAAACCCGAATTCTCCGTTGCAGGAACTCGATGAGGCAAGAGTAGTTTGGGTCCTTCACCGTAGACGCATGGTCCTCCCAGGCCTTCAGCGTATTGTCGTGGATGCGCGAGCATAGCTAGTGTTCGAGGATGGTACTCCACGTGTCGGTAGGTTCTCCCAGCTGACGTAGAATCTTGATGTGCCGTTCAAATGCGTCGACCAACGCGTGAAGTGTTGCAGCAGACTCCTTCTCCATCCGTGGAACATCGAAGAGTGCCTGTAGATGTCGCTTACTTATCAAATACTCATTGGAGTACCGACCCTTTAGGGCTTCTTATGTCAGGTTGTAGTTACCGGAACTGATCGATATCGATTCGATCACCTGCGCAGCTTCCCCTTTGACGGCTGCCCTCAAATAATGATTTTTTTGGATATCGGGTATATCAGCGTTCGAATGAATGAGAGCCACAAAGGTATCGTGGAAAGTAAGCCATTGCTGGTAGTCTCCATCGAATTCCGGAAGCGAAATTGTCGGCAGTTTGATCCCAGAGAGAGCAGAGTTAGTATTAGCGGAGTAGGGATTGCGAGCGTTAACAGAAGTGGGAGGCATTTTAGAAATCAAGCTAGCTTTTATTGAAAAGAGCCGAGTCTCGTAATCGGCACGGACATCGGCATGCATTGCCCTACCTTCCTCAGAAGCTTCAAGGTCTTCCAGTTGAGCCTGCACCGCTTCCAAGCTAGCCCAGATGTTGTCGACGTGACTGATCCTCAGTGGTACCTGTGCTTCATCCCGTTCAGCGATGTAGCCAGACATAAATGCCTCTGCCCGACCCAGTGATGTGAGTATCGTGTCCCTCCGGAACCAACGCTGCTGTTCGGTTGCCATGCTCGAATGGCTGTCATCGATGAAAGGCAGTCTTAGAAATCGTGACGCAGTAGCCGTAGGGAACGTCGATGGTTGAACACAGCAGCCAGTGGATCTGTTCCAAGGCAAGTAGGTATGTGCCTTGAATTATCAATAAACTGCCAGCAGGACCAAAATCGAGCACCGACCGTACTAATCGAGCCAAAATCCGTATGATGTGACGGGCGTCGACGAAAGGAGCAGGAACAGTGTCGCAAAATGTTCGAAATGCCGTACGATCAGTGCGTCAACAGGAACGAAGCAAATCCAGAAAAATGCCGTAGAAGGCCTTACGGATGGTCACAGTCACCTAACTGCACCACAAGAATAATGGCCACACAGAAACACATACACAGGGGCGATGGCCGGCGTGAAACAATCGGCAAAGCAAGTGCACAGGTCAACAAAAATGGTTGCTTCCAGAATCGTCGCTTTGGATTGAGTTGGATCAATAGGGCCACGCCACAAAACATCTATTAATAGCGCTGGTGAATCCTAATCACGATGGCGACGATCAGGCCGATTCAATGTGGCTAATCTGGACACTATGGCTGACACTATGAGCTTCGATTGAATCGGAAGCAATTTTCTCAGTTACTACAGCAAAGGTGAACTGCGTACACGCAAGGAAAAAGTGAATTCTAAAGGGTACCTGCGAGACCCGCATAGCTTAATTGGACAGGCCTTCCGTCTGATAGATTGAGGCCTTGTTCAATTAATTAATCCTCCGGAACAGTGGCGATGGCTGCAGTGAACAAAATTTCAGCGTCGAAACGACCCAGGTTGAATCTGGACGATCCTGGTCACGGCACCAAATTATGGTCGTTCTTACCGCCGCCCGTATTCGTCTCCCTACGTTGCACTATGGGCAAAAATGGGTCCAAATACAGGTCAAATATTTTGCGATAAGGAACAAAACTACCAATTTTTATGAAATTCTGAGAACCACTATATCGCTTTGCTATGGACCGCAATGTTGACGTAGGACTACGATTTTTTTTGTTCGACACAGTGTTGAAGGAGAACGGACTCAATTTACAAGATGAATCGACATGACGCCACTCGTAAGTACCGTAACAAGCTGTAGCTGATCCACCTGAAGAAGAACTCAACATGTATCAAGGATCTGCAGAATATCCAGGCGCTGTTCCACATCGTGGTGATATGGGAACGGTTGAAAGTTGATTGTCGTTAAAAGAAATTGCCAAAAATTTGAAGCATCTAAGTAAATAGTCTTATACCGGAAGCAAGGAGTTTCCAACGCACCGATTTCCATTTATCACAATCGTAATGTATTTACATTGCACAATATACTCCCTCAGCGTCTAGCTCCTTCTACTGAAATGCCGCTTTAATCACCTGTTCCGCTTCCTTCGCGTGCCACGAGCTGACCCCTACAGCCACGGTAGCACCTTCGTACCGTCCCCGGTACGTAATCTGTACGGCAAGAATATCAAAATTAGACACAATTCCACACAAACACCTCGACACCGACTCACCCTCTTTCCGCACATATTCTCGAATCTGGGCTGAACGAAGCTCCACGCACCCATGTTTCGGTGTTCCTCTTGGCTCCAAACGACTTCCCTGACATTGCTGTACTTGGCCAGTTCCTCCTGAATCCGCTGCACCGGGAACGGACAAAGCGACTCCAACCTCACGATCGCAACTTCACCGTTCTTGCTGGCCAGTCGCTCATTGTTCAAATTGTAGTAGTGCTTTCCGCTGCAAAGGATAACCCGTTTGACCTTCTTCGGATCGCTGACTGCGCCGTCCCCGATCACCGTCTGGAAGAATGTTCCCGGGGCCAGGTCTGCGTGTGTCGAAACACACTCCGACAGGCGGAGTAAGGTTTTCGGGGCTACCACGACCAGCGGCTTCCGGAAGTTGCGCACCATCTGGCGTCGCAGAGCGTGGAAGTACTGAGCCGGCGTGGAAGGATTGATCACCTCGAAGTTGATGTCGTCTCCGTCCGGGGTGGCTTCCTTGGAGTCGGTCATCTGGAGGAACCGCTCCATCCGGCAGGAACTGTGGTCGGAGGCGGCTCCGTCGAAACCGTGCGGCAGCAGCATCACCAGCCCGTTGCACACCATCCACTTGGCTGGAAGTTTTGAGATTAGGTTAAGTCAATGCTAGCGACGATGGATTGGAGTGGCACTTACTTTCACTGTTGAGTACGAATGTATCGAGAATGATCTGGGCACCGTTGAAGAAGTCCCCGAACTGAGCCTCCCAGATGATCAAGTTGTTCGGGTTGTCGATGGCCATGCCGTATTCGAAGCCGAGCACGGCCTCTTCCGATAGGATACTGTTGGCCAGCTCCAGCTTGCCGCCGGCTCCGCCGTTCAGGTCGTTCAGTGGAATGTAGATTTCATTGGTGTTCTGATCGACGAACATGGCATGGCGGTGGGAAAATGTTCCCCGTCCAATGTCTTCGCCGCTGATCCTCACATTGTAGCCCTGGTACATCAAGCTTCCCATGGCCATAGCTTCCGCGGTGGACCAATCAATGCGGTTACCTTCGGCTACTTTCTTCAGGCGGGCTTCGACGTGGTGCTTTCGCAGGTGAGGATGAAGGGCAAAGTCCGGTGGGCAGTTTACGCTGGTTCTGGCGATGAGGTTCAACAGACTGTAGTCGATTCCGGTGTTCCACACGGTAACTTCATTCCCTGCCTGCTGTATGCCACTCCACTGGTGTTCGAAATAGCTTTTCTCCGGTTGGTAGTCGTTGAGGTTCTGCAGTTCGGAGTTTAGGTAATCGTGGTGAGCTTTGACTGTGGTGTCAACGTCGTTTTGGGTGATCTCTTCGGATTCGATGAGCTTCTTGGCGTACAGATCTGGGACCGAGCTGCGGTTGTGGATCACGTTGTAGAGCAGTGGACTGGTGAACGTGGGGTCGTCCAGCTCGTTGTGACCCCAGCGTCGGTAGCAGTTCAAGTCGATGAAGACGTCCTTCCCGAATTTCTGTTGGTATTCGAAGGCCAGCTTGGTGACCTTGGTCAGTGCTTCCGGGTCGTCACCGTTCACGTGGAATACCGGAGCCATGATGCTTTTGGCCAGGTCAGATGCATAGCGAGTGCTTCGTCCGCGGTCGCCGGGAGTGGTGAAACCTACCTGGTTGTTGACGATCATGTGAATCGTGCCTCCGACGTCAAAGTGAGGCACTTCGGCCATCATGAGACACTCCTGGTTGACTCCCTGGCCGACGAAAGCTGCATCACCGTGCAGTTGGATGTTCAGGACTTTTGAAGGAACCGACGGATCATTGTGATAGGGTCCGTCCTGAAGGGAGAGTTGTTTGGCACGGGTCTTACCCATCGAAACTGGGTTGACTGCTTCCAGGTGGGATGGGTTGTTGAGCAAGTTCAAGTGGATCGTTTTACCGTTGATGTTCAAATTCGTTGAGGTATCTACGAGGGAAGATTGCGGCTTCACAGTACGATTGTATCAAGAGAATTGATCGATCAACTTACTGAAGTGATTGGTGATATCACACATGGCTTTCGCGTCCGGAGGAAACTCCGACAGTCCTTTGTACTTGCGAAAGATCTTGGCTGGTCGGGTCTGGAACAGGATTGTCAGGACGTTCAGTTTTCCACGGTGTGGCATTCCGACGACGATGTTGCTCAGGTTCGCTTCGGCGGTACAAATGAACAACTGCCGGTAGAATGCCATAATACTTTCGGCTCCTTCGCCTCCGTATCGCTTGACGGAGGGGAACTTGGTCGCCAGGAAGTTGTCGAAGGCCTGTGACTTTAGCAGTAGTTCGGCGATTTCCTTCTTGTCCGAGCCATTCAGGTTGGTGTGGAACAGCTGTTCGTAGTTTTCTGCAAGCCATTCGCGCTCCTGTTCGTTTTCGATGTACGCCAACTCAATGCTGGCCGTTCCGCAGTAGATGTGCTGTAGTAGTTGTTCGAGCTGTTCGACGGTCAACGCTGCAGGCGGATCGGACGAGTTGACGACACCCAGCGGATCGATTCGATCAGCTGAGGAAAGTCCATAGCGGGAGTAGTCGAGCAGATGGCTGCAGTCGTCTGTTGATTGAATGAAGGGTACCGGGTTGATTGCGGCCACTCGGTGAGCATGATTCCGGTAGGATTCTACCCAGCGATAGGCGTTGCTTTTCTGCACCCGAGCATCGATGATGCGCTGGTTCACTGGAAGGAGAAAAATCTTGTAGATTGCTGCTATCTATGATGGGGGTTGATCCCACTAAACAATGTGAGTTGGTGATAAGGGGCAATCAGCACAAATCGCGATCGCACGTTACTCTTGAGTAATTCGCTTATTTGCTACAATCTACCCTGCTGTTTTCCAAACCCGGAGAGCTGAGAATGTAGTATTTTCAACAACTATATCGCGACCGAGATAAGGAATCAAGGCGCAGAACAAACAAGATTTTGGCAGTGGTTTTAAATTACAGCCCAGCTGGTCAGCAGATCATGAAAATGTTGTTCATACTTACATCGAAATTCCTTCACCGGTTTCGGTTTGAATCCGAAGACTCCCTTGGTACTGTGATACTGTCTGCAGAGAACTCGATGCATTCTGCAGGACGGGATGGAGATCTGCTGCAAAATCACTAATCTTAGTTTCAATTTCAAACCGACCACGTAGCAACTCCACTGGCAATCCAACAACCTACCTATCTACCAAAGCACTGGAGCGTTGTCAAGTCAGTGAAGGAGGAGATAAAATACTGATGGTTGTTGTTTTTGTATAGGGGCTGGGTCGAGATAGATTTACCTGCCTACCTGGCGTTTGCTTGCTTGGGAACGGGACGAGAGTTCAAACGAAACTGAGAGTGTTCTGTGCTCTGTGTCGGATGCTCTGCTGCTGGCCAGCAGTTTTTGAATGGTGGTGTGACGTGCACACATATTGAATCACATCGCACATTTATTATCGCGCTTTCTATTTTGAGCCGATCCGGTGAGACAAGAACCGGCAGGGTGTTGTTTATGGAGGGCGTGAACACACTGCAA